AAACAGCAATTGGGTAATTATGTTGGTAACTATGGCCAAACCAATATCCTCACACATGAAAGATAAAAATAGTATCTTCACTGCATGCGGTGAAGATATGATTTTTTAGTAAAAGGAGAAATCCTGGTATTTCATCAGTATCTATATAATAAAATAAAATATCCTTGGAATTATGGCTTAGTCAATGCAATTACTTTGAGTAAGCAGGAAACTTTGATAAGCTGCTGTAGGTAAGTTATGCAACTTGGTTCTTAACATGCAGTGGATCCTTCCACAGTAGAGACAAAAATAACATAACTTTTGCAATGCCAAGCCTCCTGTAATGATGTACAGTAATGTGCAAGTGCAGGGAATGTAGCTGCCCATGTTGTGGTTTGGCCTTGTTATCGTTTATACAGGCCCCAATTTAAACCAGTTTTAAAGCTGAGCTGGGCCAGCCTGTCTAATTATCACAAGTGAATAAATAGAAATAAGAACACACAAGATAAACATTTTGAGCCATAATCCATAGGAAAAGCACTCATGGACCCAAAGTACTGTTCAAGAACAATTCTAAGTAATTCAAAAGGATTTTAGAGACTGTAGTTTGTTAGGAAAGAACAATACAAAAAGGATAGAGACAAGTTGGGGTCCAACCATATTGGAACATGATCCAACATCAGGCATGTCCAGGTCTCATTTTTCTATTGCTTGGCATCTAATATCAAACAATGCAAAGCAGCCTCAGCTTTGATGCTCACCTCCTCATCAGTAATAGGTCCTCTTCCTTCTTTCATGACAAACCCAGTATACCCTGCTGGTACATTGATAACACATCCTTTCAGACTACGCCCTCTGAAGGATGCACTTAGGGCTAAGAAATATTACATAGAAATGTGAATGTCAGATAAAACTATAAAATATCAATCAGTATGTTAAACACCATGTCTGTCTTCAAGCTTCGACAACGCTTAGTGGTTATAAGGATTTGTTTCTGTATTTTGAGTTACAGGAACTTACAAATAGTAATTACAAATTTGATGATTTTCTATCTCCAGGTAAATTTTAGGATGCCTAATCTTTTAAACCTTATTATCAAGTATGATAGCAAAGATGATGATAGCATTTTAAAATTTGGTGACACACTATTGTTGCATGCCTGTAAATAAACTTCATGCAAATGAACCTTTAAACCCTAAAAGTGATAAGCATCTTATTTCTCCCAACAGTAACACCCTTGAATCAGACATTTAGGTCAGGAGAATGACGAAAATGATCGTGAACTCGAGAAGCTCGACTGTTAAACAACGTTAACAGTTTGGACAATTTGCATAATATTAATGTTAGGGTTTAGAAAATTTGTTTGATATCATTTTTCCGTACCTGATTCGCCATTTTGCACCCCCGAGTTTGTACCTTCGTCTCGCACAGTTGGGTCGAAATAATTTGATACCTGAGCTTCCCCATCATGATCTACCTCACAGGCCATCAAATGAACTCGTTTTGTCTCTGAGCAATTCGTAAGGGCGGCCTGAGAAATCCTTATGTCTCCAGTTGCCATTTTTTTAGATCACTTTCAGTTAGATTGCAATTTAACCTTGTACATGGGAAGAAAATTAAGGGCTTAAAAAATCAGCGCAACTGAAAATCAAGTATCAAGCGATCTGCAAACTTTATCAAGAAAGCAAATTACACGAATGTGACGAATGTAACCAAATTGCGCGGGCAAAATGCGCCGCGTACCGGATTCTTCAGCGGCTTACTAAGATAAAGTATGCGTTTGTTTACAGTCTGATTTCAAAATGGCAGATCTTCCGGGTTAATTTTTGAGTTGACATATTTTCAAGATTCCGATGGAATGAGAAGGGTAGGAAATGAAAATTGAATTTAAATGGTAGCACAAAATATTAAAATTAACGATTCTTGGGTATTGTTATGCAGGGTGGAGATACTTTCCCTGGAGCAGGGCCTGGCCGGAGGTCGACCGTTGCACGCAATGGTAAATATTTTTTTATTGAAACAAATTTCGGCTGTGTCTATCTTGAGTATATATGTTTATCTTTTCGATCTATCGAAGTATTTTAAGGAGAGAATTATGTACTAAGGGTTAATAGGTGAAGTGTTTGTTGAAGGGTAAGACGACTGTACTTCTTTCTTTTTTTCTTGCTTTAAATTAAAGCAAGTTTCTGATTGCAACATGCTGCTTGTTTGATACATGCCATCACTCTCGACCTGACTTCTTGATTCTGACCTTTAATTGAACAAACTTAGACAATTCTATGACTTAATGCACACCAGGAAATTAAGAGTAGAAAAACACTGTGGATAACAGCTGGTCCATTGTTGTACATATCGATCTCTGCTTACGCACAGTAAACTTACACAACTGTGCAGAGAATGTCCCAAACAGAGAAGCACTCAGCCCTTAAACTCCCACGAGTGACCAAGACAGAATTTCTCCTTACGATATCAATTCAATTTCAACAAGACAAGTGATGAGAATAAGGAAAAATTATTAGTTGATCCAATACACATCATAATGGTTGTCTGGCTGACAGTAAGGAGAATTATTATTGAGATCTTGGGTGTGAAAGGGTTAAATTTATGTTGAATGATGCGGTAATCAATTTTTGAAATTAATTTTTTCACTTTTCAGCCTCAAGCCGAGCAGCTTTAGATCAGGATTTGGACTCTATTCTGAGTGGTGGTAATGATGGTATGTGTTGAATTTGTTCTCTTTACATTAAGACAAAAATATTTTCACTGGTCTGCTAGTCTGGGCTATCACACAGTAATAATATATACAAAGGTTTTTATCTTTCTCATGCAATATTTTTGTTGTTCAGATGATATATTTGGTACAAGTGCTCAACAGCAACCAAAGGCTAAAGGGCAGTCTGGAACTTCAGTAAGTTTTGGTGAAGTTGCATCAGGTTGTAGAGTGTGTATGTGCCCACTGTTTTTGTCATCATTATCATCATCATCTGTTCTTATCACATGCAACCTTTGCATCCCTAGAAGCGACAAGCATCTAATTTAATATATTTACATAGTATCACCGCTGAATCAAGCATAAGACCAGTGAGAATATAGGAAATGATCAACAAATGAAAAGGGAAGGCTTTTTCATCTCAGACCTTTTTCTGGAGCCTAAATTAATGTACCTTTTGTTTGGTTGTGATGTTAAAAAGGGACTAGCCAGGACCCTGGATTTACAATTTACACTTTTTATATCTTATTTGGCATAATTAAAATTTGAGATCATAATAAATTACCACAATTAAATATTGGCAATTTTTCTTCTTAACTACTAATCCACTGACTTTTTAATTATCGTTTAACCTCTCTTCCTTCCTCAAGGGTTTTGCTAAGAAGGGAACACTGACGTCAGGGTAATGTAAAGAGATATTTTGTAATTTTATGAACTGTATCACCCAATGGTTGGGCTAGCAATACTTTATTATTAATTCTCCCCAAGGGGCTTTTCAGAATTAATTTACAACACTTTCGGGGGACTTTTGCGGGACTGCATCAAGCAGTTAACAATATCAATCAAAGGAAGTTGAAGATGCCCCCTCCCCCCAATTCCCAGTAAACAGGCCAGACCACATCACAGTAATCTCGTGAGTGGGTTCTTTAACGTCCCCTGCCTAACCAAATTAACTAATTAATAGATGCAGGAGATGGGACTTACGGTTTATTTGTCCTTATCCAAGGAGACTAGAATGTCTATCCATTTCTTGGTGTTATAGAAAGGTAGCACATTCTCCTAAGTTTTTTAAGACCTTGGGTGTTGGTCCGGCCAGGGCTTGAACCCTCGACATCTCACACAACAGTCTGGCACTCTAACCATTGAGCTAACCGGGGAGCAGATGAATCTCAATTAGGTCACTTACAGTAGAAGGTGAAAGATAATGACCCATTAACTACTAAACCATTTTGTTCGTAGCAATGTTATGAATCAGTCCCATAGCCTGACACAATTTTGGTTTTGTACCGTTCACCATCAACCCCGTGCCTCGTCAATTAGGCTCTATTACTATTTACTAGACAAGTGAAGATTAAGTTTTCTTAAGGGTGTGAAGTATGTATCAGACAGACATTACTGCAAAGTGATAGCATTTGGTATATCTATTTTGCCGCTGTTCTCTTCTGTCTAAATAGCCACTTCTTCAGTTGATAACTTCTTGACGTGTGGTAGCTAGCTAGCTGGGTTTGAAGTATGTATCAGACAGACATTACTGCAAAGTGATAGTAGTTTCATTGGTATCTATTTTGCAGTTGTTCTCTTCTGTCTTAATGGCCACTTCTTCAGTTGATAACATTTTGTGCGGTAGCTAGCTAAACCTTGCATGTTAGACAGCAAAGTTTACTACCTGCTGACTCTTACATGCCCTGTTAAACCCATTTGTGGTGACCTTTTTATTTTTTACTGGACGGGTAGGATTTTATAATTATGTATTTATTATTTTAAATGTTTGTTTTTACAGTGCCACCGATGAAGATTTTTACAGTAGTCTGGCTCAAATGGCTGGGAGTGACATTGATGATGAGGACGAGGTAAGAGATAGTTTCAATATATTTCTTCCTTGGCCATTTTTGGAATTTCTTGATGGTAAAGTTGGTGTGATGTTTTATTTTGGTTCTGATTTCTTTGGACAGTCACTGTCTGAGACAGATGCCAAAAAGATGGCTGACAGTCTTGCTGTGAGTATTGAATATTTTATTTTAACATTCTTATCCACCATAAGAATGTGTACACAACTTGACAGCTTTTCCTTCACACTCAGGCATTGTCATCCAGCCAAAGCAAAGTTGAGATATATAATCAATTCTTGTAATCTTTAACTCTTATGATCTGATATATCTTGGGCAAATTGATAATTGATCTTAATAGGCTGGATTGATAACTCCCTTGGTATCCAACCTTTACCAATGCATCGGTAGTGTGTTGGCCGACACATTGGCTGATGCATTGGCTGATCCTCCCAATGTGTCAGTAGTGTGTCAGCCGATGTGTTGGTCAATCTTGGTCACATGTTGGTAGTATGCTGGTGGTGTGTCAATAGTGTGTCAGCCAACGCATAGGCCGACACATTGGTAGGTTCAGATTCTTTACCTTTACCCTCTCTCTTCTATACCTTTCTTGTTTGTAACTTGGTTAAGGGAATTTGGTTTTTCATCAGGATGCCACCCTCTGGCTAATGGGTTTATTTATTCTCACTACCTCCCAGCTGGATGATACATACTTGTTGTGATGAGAAGTTACAAGTAAATCACTTCTGAGGGTCAAAAGGAGAAATTAACACTGTAAAACTGTTTTTTTTTTTTTATCAGGGTCTTGATGACATGGAATCTGATCTCTTTGGGGGATCCTTAGGAAAGAAGAGTACACCAAGCAAACCACCAAAACCTGTTAAGGCTACATCAGAACAGAAGAGGATCAGCACTGACAATAAACTACCCCCTGGAACCTCCCCTGTAACAGAGTCAGCTAAATCCAAGATCGAATCTGTATCATCATCCTCATCTACAAAAAGTAGATCCTTCCTAGCTTATTTTTTACAGACACCATTTCTTCTGTTACAGTCAAATAGCCATTTTTATAAATCTGATGATCTTTAGCGAAGTTGTGCTAGCAATATACCCAATGAATGTAGACCTCTTCCATTGATGGCTTGTGGATGATGATGTTTTATACACTTGCTGATAAGCCCCTATGACCTTGCTGTTAATTTGGGGAAACATCAATTGGTTTATACAAAGTGAAAAAAAAAATGTAAAAAAATGTACATGTTAAAAGAATAACAACTACATGTAGGCCTACCATTTAACACTTTAACCTTCACATCAGTATGCATATCCTCCATACTGTTCTCTATACATTTACTAACTGTAATGACAAGGAGAATTTGTTGAATAATCAAGAGCTTCTTTAGTTGCATGGCGATCATTTTCTCTGTTCTCATGACCTTAATGTGTGATTCAGGAGTGATATTGCAAGGAGAAGTTACATGCTAATCACTAGCTCCTAGAAGTCAAAGGGTTAATAATTTTAATTGAAAAGCCAATGAACAATGCCAAAGTGTGTTTTAAATAATGAAGCTTAGTTTGTATGACCTCAGCCCAATAAAGTCTTGTTTCTTTTTATTAAAATGTATATCAAGTATATGACATGTAAAATATTCAAAATTTAACTTTCAGCTGGCGAAGCTTCAGAAAAAGCAACTTCCAAGCAAGATTCTGTGAAGGTAAAGGAAGTGAAAAAACCCAGGAAAAAGTTTGATTTTGGAGGTATGTGATCAGTGTTACTGGGATTGCTGATGGGAAAACTCACATCCATCTTGATCGAACAGTATTTATTCTGGAATCTCTTTTTAACTTTGATAACCTGAACTTTAGTTATCAAGTTTATTGAGTTACAGTACTGTAATACTCCAGAACTATGTTTACTATAATTGCATTTTTGAATAAGTTGACATTGAAATCTTTCAGAGTTTGATGAAGATGACCCCTTGGCTGGTCTATTATCTGATGAAGATGAAGACCCAAAACCCAAGCCGAAGCCTAGAAAGTCTACAGCATCAAAGAGCACTGGTTCATCTGCATTATCTAGTCAAGGTTTGAAGTGGACTGTGAACAGACTCTTTAATTTTTAGGCCTAAGTCATTTTGCCTTCGCATTAGATGGTGGCACTACCTCCGACTTATTAACCAAGTTTGAAGTCCTACTGAGAGTTATGGATCAAATTTTCTCCACTCTGATTTATGGCTCAAGAGCGAAGAGTGGGCCATAAATCCAAGCAGAATAAACCTGGTCCATAATTTACCTTATGAACTGAGAAAACAAGTTTAGTAACGTATCTACTGTATGTCTTGGTTCAAGTAGAGAGGGTGGTTTCAATTCAAACAAACTTTTGAATTAGCAGGCTGTATAGTGAAATACAGCCTGCTCAAATTGACCAATCATAAGGCACGCACAAACTGAGAGATGTAATATTAGTTTAATGAAAAGGTAGCTCAATGATGGAACGTAATCATGGAAAATTTAGTTTACAAGAATAAAGCAACTGTTTTAAGTGTACATCTTCCATCACAATTTTCGGAACATTTGCTCTTTTCCCCCATGTCATTGTTGGTAATGAGAATATTTCACCTTAATAAGTTAGGGGCAAGGGTTTTCAACAAAACTTGGTGGTATTTGAAGGTGTGCCTAGAAGTTGGTTGATATTTGTGGCTTTCTTGGATAAAACTTTCTTTTTTGGCCTTCAGGATATGTCAAAGGTAGCTAAGTTCTTTTGGCTAGCTCACTTGTCTTAGGGCAAGTAGTGTACAAGTGGGTACCAGTGGATACAAACCCATTTGAAGAGTTACCAGTAGCTTCAATTTGAATAATCACAGTGAAGAGCAGAGATTAAAATTCATAATGTTTCCTTCCCATCCAATGTAGAACTGATGATGAAACAAGAGGATAACGAAACTGCCAATGTGTGAACTACAAATTATATATTTCATGCTTGCTTTATAACCTTACGTTTCTTAGTTTCAACAGAAGAAAGACCAACATCATCCAGAGGGCGTAGGCCAGCCAATCAGGAATCAGCAAATACACCATCACCTCCTGTTACACCAGAACATCAACCCGCCGTCAGGGGGAGCAAAGATCAAGGTGAAACTGTATCTTCCCCTCCTGGATCACCAGGCATAACGCCAGATAAGGAGGAGGGAGATGTAACACCCTCCCAAACTGCACCGCGGAACAAGGGACAAAGAAAGCCTGCTGGTAAATGTTAATATCAAAATGATAACGCCTTGTATGTTTCTTGTGATTAATACTTGTGATTACCCTACTGCCAGGATGTTAGTTCAGAGAATTTGTTGACTTTTTCTTTATTTTCAACTCGTCTGAGTCTCTCGATAATAACATTAATTTCATGTCGCCAAACTTTATGTGTTTTAGCTGGTAAAGCGAAACCAAGTAAGGAAGAGATCAATTTTGACTCAGATGAAGATTTACCAGGTCTGGATGACTCTAAGGAAAACACGCCTCGAGATTCACCCACTCCTCCCGCAAGATCAAAGAAAGAGCAAACCAGCAAACGGAAAACGCAGTACCCACCTGGGGATATATTCGGTGATGATGATGACCTTCCCGCTACCGGTACTGCAAAAATTTTGTTTTAATGTACAGTATAAGCTGAAATGCATAGTGCGTTTTCTGGTTACGTCGCGTCGGCCATTTTGGTGGCGCGAAACATAAATATATAATTGAAGTGAAGCGAAACAAGGATGTTTGAAAAACCAAACCCTCTCCTGCCGTGCTCAGAAGTTATTATCCTTACTTGCCAGAATGTTAGTTCTGAGATTTTGATGTAGATGAGATACTTTCCCCACCAGTGATGAAGTTCATGACGACTTTTATGTGATTATCGATTGTTCATCGATTGGCCGATGCCAATTAACTAACCGTAACGGATAGCCATCGATTGATTTTCCGATCATCGATTTTCATCGATTGCTTAGGCCGTGGTGGCAGGGATGGATGCTGTAATTAGGGAATACTGGTATGCGTCTCTTTTATTTCTGGGAGTGAAGGAGTTAAGGCCGCTTTTATTTATTTCTTTATTTATTTATTTCTTGATAACCAAACTGACGTGAAAATAAACATTTACTACATAAAAAAAATCGTCACGTATTTCTAACTGCCTTTATTCAAAATATTGAATATATTCACTTACCGATGTAACCACTATTTTAAAATTGATAGAGACCAGAAGTGACAGCCCCACACAAGGTTCTCGATTCAGCGAACTGCTCGGTAAAAAGGAAAAGGAAGAAACTAAAAAACAAGTTCCTAAATCTTTGGACGACTTCATGGCCAACATAAGCACAAAGCCTCCGGCAGGAGGAGGTACAACAAGTAAGAAAGGTATGGCGGCAACCTGCTATATTTTTATCTCCCTTAATGGCAGGAATTCTTCCTTACAATATTAAAACATTTTCGAGCGGAAAGGCGATGAGAGACAAATATCAACTAGGGAATATTTTTTTGATTTAAATGCTAATTCTCAGAGCTAAAATAGAAAGAAATTTATCGTAGACAGTGTGGAGAATCGATATTAGATCTTAAAACAGGGTGGCTCACTTCCTCGAAGTCATTAATGTATATATAATTTTGTCGTTCCCACTTCTGCTTTGGAAGCTCCACTTGCAGGAAAGCTCTGAACCGTTGTTACCGGCGTTTTTTTCTCTTTACTATTAAGCGTTCTAACATTCTGAATTAAGTCGCCGCAAGGACGTCGCGAAGAACATTGCAGGTTAACTGATCTGTGCACGCGAAGGTGATATGACGGGCCTCCATAGATAAGCGTGCGCGTTTATATACTTATCGTAATCGTTTACGTTACAGTTTCCAGTCCAACATCTGAAGATTCATTCCAGTTTGGTGGTTACATGCCATCTGCAGCCTCCAGTGGTCGATCGCGCGGCCGAGGGGGCCTGGCAAGACCAGACACAGCCCCTAGCTCCACCAAGCGTTCCGTGCGGTTTTCAGATGACCTGGGACTAGATGATGAACTCTTTGGAAGTGAGAGGCCCTCCACAGCTCCGAGTCAAAGGTCGCCCAGAAAGCAAACAAAGAGAGAGGACAGAGATGAAAACATCAATGGATCGTATTCAGACGATAGAGACCAGAAACCAAAAGAAGACAGCAAGCCAACCAGAGGACAGGCGAAGATTAGTGGTGGGTAGCCACTTAAGTGAAGTATTCCACCGTACATTTGGATACATCACAGATAACGTCTTTCAATAAATTGTTGGCTGAACCGTTTTCCTTGCGAGAATAAACCAAAAAGAGTGTGGTTGCTAAGAACGGCGAAAATTGACACATAAATTGGAAAATTAAAAAAAAAAATCAATAGATTTTTCAGAATGGACAACCCTTGTCGTAGCCTCCTTTAAAAGAAAGAGTAAAACTTTCGTCTGATTGGCGGAAATAGCACGTAATTGTAATCACGTGATTTTCCGCGCTTTCACTCGAGGACCATTGGTCATTTGAACCTCTCATCGGTGCGTCATGTTCAAAGTAAATCACATCGTTAATTCAGTACCAATACCACTACTTCAATTTTTTTTTCTTTTGCTTTAGAAGAAACCATGATCGAACAAAAAAAGAATCCACAGACTGAGAAACCAAAAGATAACAGCACACCTGCTACACACGGTATCACCGTAAATTTTTTTTCCTCTGATTATTTAATGTGTGAAGCTGGTCGGGTGGCTGGGAAGCTTCGGGGGTAACTGTGAAATCCTGAGGACATGCTCTCAAACAAGGACTTTCTCATTCTTGATACCAGTAGGCGGTTAAGACACAATGGCCTTGTCATTTGAGTACTTGAAGCCATAAAGAGAGATCTGCGCTCGAGTTACAGGCAGCCATTTTATTGAGTTTCTAGGCCATTAACGTTTCGCTCACATTTACTCTTCGCTGAAAAATATAACTAGGTGCCAGTGAAGTGTTAGGTAAACCTGACACGATGCTCTGTTAGTCTTGCTGAGGGCAATCGAAGAAGCGGTACGACTGGTCGCTTCATGCTCTAGAGACTTCTTCAAGCTGCGAAAATAATGAGCGGTCAGGATCCTGTAAGGGTCGTATTCGAAGATCTTAGTAGGATCGTAAGACTTTGCCCTACATCAGTGAGCCCAAAGGAGTCAAGTAACCCTTTATACCTTGGTCTCTTTCTTTCATCCCAGGATCCAAGTCAAGTGGAGGCGGCGGAGGAGACTGGTTAGGACTGAGTGGAGGCGATGACGATGGAGGCCTGGATCCTAGTAGTGCTCCTCCCAAAACAAGCACATCATTTCCTCAGGAGAGCAGAAAGGACACACCCAGCAAACAAGGTACTCTGTGACTCCACAATATTTGTGTGCTGTTTTTTCTTAAAATTAATGCGTAATGTGTTATTGTTTTGTGTTCAGTCCCCACTGAACGTCAGGAGAGGCAACAATCACCGCCGGGAAGAGCAGGCCGACGCCGGGGGGATGGTGATAGCGATGAGTTCTTACGCATGTTGGGAATTACACCTGATGAGCCACCAAAACCAACACCAAAACAGGTCGAGTCAGCTGATGACAGTGGCAAGTAAGTTTAGCTACGTTTGCCTGCTTATACAGTGCAAGGCCACATTGCTTATATTCGCAGTTGTTACAACGTTTATGTCAATCCAGTTGCCGACCATAGTGGATAAGTAGATCGATTGACTGACAGACTGAATTACTAACTGCCTGTTTGGCTTATTTGCTGACTGACTGAGTTACTAACTGCCTGTCTGATTTATTTGCTTACTGACTGACTGACTGACTGACAGACCGTCTATATGGCTGATTTGCTGACTGACTGGCTGACTGAGAAACTTACTAACTGACTGGCTGGTTGAAAGACTAACTGGCTAACTGCCTGTCTAACTGATTTGCTGACGTACTGACTGACTGCCCGACTGGTTGACTGACTGACTGACTGACTGACCGCCTGTCGGGTTAATTTGCTGACTAACTGACTGACTGAGTGGCTGGCTGACTGACTGACTGACTGGCTGGCCAGCTAACTGACTGGTAGACAGATCGACTGGTTGCAAAATTACTCAAGTGATTGATTCATTGACTGACTGATACCCATGGCATAGCTCTTCTTGTCGCTATACTTTGTTCAATTATCTCTCTGACCGGTTAATGGCCTGATTGTGTTGTTCAGGTCGTCTTTGTTTCCTTGGGAGTCCCCAGGGGGCAGTCCACGAAGAGGAAGGCGGTGGCGTAATCAATCTAGTCCGCAGTCCTCGTTTGATGAACCAGACCCTGCATCTACCCTGGGAGGACCCCTAGATAGGCCACATCAGGGGGGTCCCCTGGAAAAAGATGACTTTGAAAAGAGTAAAATGCAAGAAACACGTCAACAATCCATAAACCAACATACAACAAAACTGCAAATTGAACAGCAACCAGCCGCCGCAGAAATTCAGACGAGAAGAGAATCTCAAACAGCCGCAATCCACGACAGTTCTTCTCCTGCGGCAGCTGTTCCACAAGCGCAAGTGCCACCCCCTGCGTCACGACCACAACAGCCTGGCCCTCGTTTCCCCCAGCAGTACTCCCTGCAGTCGTACACTACCCAACCCATCCCCCATGAAACTAACGTTCCACTGCAAGTGACAGCTCAACCTTCAGCTAAGCAGGTGTATCCTCTGCACCAACATCTCTCTGCTTCACAGGTCCAAACAACTCCTTTTACCTCACCTACCGGTCAAAATGTCTCCCAGACCCTCTCCTACCAACCACATTACCAGTCCCCAGCTGGATTTCAACCATCGCCCCAGGTCGTCCAACCGTCGTCGGTAGAAAGACTTGAAATGTCAAAATTGAAAGCCGAAAGTGAGCTGCAGCAGAATAGACTCTTGGAATATGAACTGGTAAACGAACAGCACGTGCAGCAGAAGACAAGACTAGAAGAGGAAGTGAAGGAGCTTATGAAAAAGGTGCAAGAGAGGGAAAATGTTCGACAGAGAACTGATCTGGACGCTTCCAGTAAACTGTCAGAGTTGGAAGGGAAGGTACGAGGTTATGAGTTAAAATACTGGGGAACAATAACAGATCTAATTTTCTCCAGTTTTCCCAACGGGCTATTATCACAGGTTGGGAATGATCTTTGTGAAACAAAAAGTACTTACAAAATTTTTATTAAAGCAACCAGGCCTCAGAGTGTCGAACTTCTACTACTTATATCCGTCTCGATGTTGAGTGGCATGCCGTAGTTAGAAATTTACTCTTTTCACCTGTCTCGGGGTTTTGATAAAGTGTCGCGATTTTAAGGAAGGATTCGTGTCAGGAGCAGTTTTCAATTTAATTTCATGAGCAATTCGGGATCGCACTTGATTTGCTTCGATTTGCCCTTTGATTGGTCCAGAAAGCTCACGTCACCTTCTCAATCAATCAGGTGCAAAACTAAAACCAATTGGAAGTGGGTCACTGGCGTTTTCCCACGCTTTATTGGCTCCTTGCCATTTGATTGGCTATTGTGATTACTTTGGTTTTGGTATTAGGACACTCAGTTCATCGGAAAGTGCCTTAGATGTTGTTTTGGTGTAAAGAGTGAATATTACTTTACCTGTGATTCTAATAGGTCCGCCGTTACGAACTTGAGCGGGAACAACTTCTGACTACGATTGAGGCGTTGAAAACAAGACACAAAGATGAACTGGCTAACATAGATGCCTCTCACAAGTAAGACTGTTTCCCTGCCAGGGTGATTTACTTGAAATAAAAGCTGGGAAATTTTGCATCTCATTTTGAGCCACATAACATTATGGAAACTTCATTATTATGATTAAGCTTACGGTTAGTCTGAGTCATCCATTTGTTTCAAATAAACAATGAACATTTTAGGTAAAACCATGGTTTTTTTTAACAAAATCAACAATTCACAAAAGGCTGCTCTTGAGGGCTTTCCACGAGATGAAATTTACGGTTTGCTCAACTTCACCTTGTAGCTGGCAAAAAAATTAAAATCCACCCAACCTACTCGACCAATCGAAGGCAAAATTTGCGAACCATTTCATGGTTTGGTTTAGTTATTTTTGTTTTTAACCAGATCTCACTTGAAGACCTTGGAGGAGTCTTACCATCGCCGCGAACAAAGGCTCCAAGATGAAACCGACCTTATTATCAAACAAAACAGCGAGAAGCTAAAAACTTTGGAAACGGAGAAGGCTGATATACGAGCGGCTAGCAACCGAAAACTTTCAACGCTGGAGACAGCGAAAAACAATGAGATAGAAACGTTAAAAGACCTTCATCGGCGAGCGATGGAACAATTACGTCACGAACACGAGGATGAGATGGCACATTTCCGAAGGCTCAAAGAGCAGGAGGTGTCAGCGGCCACAAGTGCGCATGCCCACACCAAGTCGCTTCAGTCCCTTATGGACCAAGTCTTAAACTCGACTCGAGAAGTGAGTGACTTACGACAGAAGATCGAGGTTACTCACAAAAGTGGTTTGGAAGAGCGCGAACTCTCCGCGAGGGCTCGGGACGAGTACCTGAAACAATTGCAGGAAAGGTTACTACGGCAACAATCTGAGAATGACGAGGAGAGGACCAGGTTACAAGGCAAGTTACGTCATCTCTTACCTTGAGAACGGATCTGAAAGGGGAAAAGGAAGTTTTCTTGTGATGGTCATTAGCGTGATCGCAAGAAGTTAAACCCGAACAGAAGCAAACATTCAAAAAAAGTAAACAACATGATGATGAGAAGCAAACATCTCGCATTATTTTGTCGCCTACGCCTGTATGATTTCAACAGCTTTCACATACGTTTTGTTAATATTACAGGCCTGGTCGCCAAGATGGAGTTGCACATGCGCGAGCAGTCTCGACAGGTCGATCAAGAAAGATGGCGTCTTTCTCAAGACGAGTCAAGAATGAAAGCAGTTCAAGCCGCATTGGAAGACGAGAGACGAATCACAATGGAACAGCTCTCCTTGCAAAGAGCTGAGGTACGTGTTTGTCATCAAAATCAAATTTCGCCCGTAAGAGCAATATTTTTTTGTGGCACACAGGTTGTGAAAAAGCTCAAAGTGAAGCTGGATACTCTGAACTGGCATCAAAAAATGTATGGCAATCAGTAGGGAGAATTTCTTTGCTCAAGCTAATAAAACCCGCTAGTAAACCCTTATTTATCAGTGCTAAGTATCCTCCTTAGGTGGGCCTCACTTGATGAGAGAGACCGCGAGATACAACTAAAATTTCGAATTTTAGTGCAACTTTACCTTAGGAAATGAATTGAGAAGAATGTGCATTTGTTGTCCTACTTGAGCGGGATTAAAAAAAAGTAGACGTGGATGTCTTTTTTTTTTTTTCTAAACAGTACAGTTGCGAAAGGAGGATAGCATGTTTATATTTTGCCGAAGTAAATCGCATATATTTTGCTAACGTTAATAAAACTTTGACAATGAAAGCTTCCTCCACACCTTCCCATTCCCTCAACTCTCTGTCCTATGACTAGATGATGACAACCGTAAAAACACAGTCTCGAGGTTTTTTAGGAACTGGCAGTGCTGTTTTGCCTTATCGCAAAGAATTGAAACTTTCTATTGACTCACTCGTTCTGCTAAAAGCCGAGTCGATAATTTAAAGATGAGAGTCCTGGCCAAACATCGTGTTTGTTATATCCAGTCCGTCTTCTTCCTTCAATTAGATTCAGCGCGCCCGAGATGACCTCGTACGAGAACAAAGAACTGCTATGAGTCAGATACAAGAAGAGCGGCGGTCACTGGCCACAGAACGAGCCCAGCTCTCCTCCGCTCACAGAGACCTGATCAGCAGAGAGAAATTGAAGACTGAGACGAGCGTACAGGTGAGAACGCCTCCAAATTAATAGACCATCATTTTTATTTACATTTTTCTGTAATACTTGAACATCGGCGACCAATGTTTTTATGTATTCTTGGGTCAGGCTGAGGCTGACCTTGGAGCAACTGCAGTAAAGATTAAAGAGGATGCTGCTGCCCTGAATGTACGGGAGGCTCAGCTGAAACAAGAAGAGGAGAGAATGAGGAGAGAGAAGGAAGAGCTCGAGCGGAAGCGGATTGGATTTCAGGAAGAGAGAGACAGAGTCGGAAGGTTGGGCCTCGAGGTACAGAAGAGATCACGAGAGATCGAGGAACTTTGCACAGTAAGTTTCCTCTTATGGATTTTTTCTTTGTCACACGCTTGTGACAAAACGGAACACCTCTCTATCCCTTGACCCTGCTTAAACCCCCCTCCAGCATCCTTCTGATTCTGTTCACTCACACGGCGCTTCCCACATTGCTGATCCTAGCAGTATGCAGAAAGCTGGTCACATATAAACCAGAAAAGCCTAAATCATCACAAAGTTCACTGTATGCCAGTACTGGTGCATCGGAGCGCGGAATCCGAAGGCTTGAGTTTCGATTCCTCGTATTATATTCACATTTTTTCTTTATCCTGCATTCTTTAATCTTCCTTTTAGTTTCCGCTATTTTAATCAAAATTTTTTTAAGGTTCTTCTTCTTCAACTGGTGTCATTATATGTTACCGGAGTACCTTAACTTCCTAAAGCACTACGTGCCTGTCTATTTTCATGAAACTAATTCGTAATTACTCAGCTACATTTTTAACTAAAGAAATCGTTGGTTTGTTCACATTGATATATATATATATACACGTAAAACATCGTCTTTATGATGAAATCAGCTTTAGGGAATGTTCAAAAGACCTACAGGGTTTATGGTTAGTGCGCTGGAGTCCAAATTCTATGATCCGTGTTTATGCGTACCCCCGGACTCTACTTCCTTCCCAGCCAGACCATAGTGCCACCTGCATCATAAATCAGGATAAGCTGTGGCATCTATGAGGGTCAGTCTTTTCGGCAGGCGTTGCCTTGTGATCCGGTTATTTTCGTAGTTGTAGCGACTAGTCGCTTTATTTTCAGTACCTAGGCACGGCGCGGTGATAATCAACTAGTGATTTCACTAGTACTCACATTGATTAAATACTGCTCTTTTTCCAGGATGCTGGTCGGGCGCGCAACGAGGGCGAACAGGCCCTTGAACTTGCAGAACGCGTGCGTGTTAATGCAGAGGCTCAAAGAGCGGAAGCTGAAGGAATGTTCCTGGTCGTGCAGGAAAAAGAACGACAATTGGCACAGGTGTGGTATTCAATCAAATGAAATAAAATCAGAAGTACTTGTCTCATGACCATGTCCCTCTGAGGCCCGTATGTGCAAGTAACAAGTCGGAGACTAAAATCACAGGTTTATGAGCACAGGCAACCCAAAGCGAACTACACACAAATTCTGGCATTTTATGATATCGCTGCAGGCGATGTTCGCAATTTTTTCGTCTCAGAGCCTGACAAGGGCTGCAGTGAAGTATACCACAACCGTTTCAAAATTTGGCATGTGACTAGAATTGCTTATATCCACATTTCAGCGCTTTCTGTGACCGATAATGACAGAAACGAGAGGGAATGAACAATCCCTTGCTCTCCTCCCTTTCCATTTTACTTTCAGACTTTTTATTATTATCACTACGCTGTTCTTTTTAAAAGCCGATGAATTTTCGTTACTAAGTGCTCCTTTGATGTTTGTAGGATCGTCTTGCTATCGCTCACGAGCGGCGTATGTTGGAGAAAGACAAGCAATCAGGGCGATGCTGGCAGTGTGAGGGACGGCGAACGAGTCCCGCTGAACAGATCCATGCATCCCAAGGTAAATAACTGACGGAAATCATAAAATACACTTGTTTAATCTTTTAATTGAATTAACCCCTATTCATTTAACCCTTTTCCCTTCCCTACTTCAAATGCAAGATAGCGACTTTTGCGTGATAAACATACATACATACATTAACAAATGGTAAACACCACAGCGTACACTATTGAGTTATGGATGCACGCGGGAGGTTGCTAAGCACGAAAGAAGCGTAAGAGTCGCTCGAGGCGATAACCGAAAGCGACTCCAGCTTCTTGAGTGCTTAGCAAACCTCCCAAGTGAATCCATAACTCAATAGTGTACGCTGTGGTGTTTACCATTTGTTAATGTATGTATGTATGTTTATCACGCAAAAGTCGCTATCTTGCATTTGAAGTAGGGAAGGGAAAAGGGTTAAATGAATAGGGGTTAATTCAATTAAAAGATTAAACAAGTGTATTTTATGATTTCCGTCAGTTATTTACCTTGGGATGCATGGATCTGTTCAGCGGGACTCGTTCGCCGTCCCTCACACTGCCAGCATCGCCCTGATTGCTTGTCTTTCTCCAACATACGCCGCTCGTGAGCGATAGCAAGACGATCCTACAAACATCAAAGGAGCACTTAGTAACGAAAATTCATCGGCTTTTAAAAAGAACAGCGTAGTGATAATAATTAAAAGTCTGAAAGTAAAATGGAAAGGGAGGAGAGCAAGGGATTGTTCATTCCCTCTCGTTTCTGTCATTATCGGTCACAGAAAGCGCTGAAATGTGGATATAAGCAATTCTAGTCACATGCCAAATTTTGAAACGGTTGTGGTATACTTCACTGCAGCCCTTGTCAGGCTCTGAGACGAAAAAATTGCGAACATCGCCTGCAGCGATATCATAAAATGCCAGAATTTGTGTGTAGTTCGCTTTGGGTTGCCTGTGCTCATAAACCTGTGATTTTAGTCTCCGACTTGTTACTTGCACATACGGGCCTCAGAGGGACATGGTCATGAGACAAGTACTTCTGATTTTATTTCATTTGATTGAATACCACACCTGTGCCAATTGTCGTTCTTTTTCCTGCACGACCAGGAACATTCCTTCAGCTTCCGCTCTTTGAGCCTCTGCATTAACACGCACGCGTTCTGCAAGTTCAAGGGCCTGTTCGCCCTCGTTGCGCGCCCGACCAGCATCCTGGAAAAAGAGCAGTATTTAATCAATGTGAGTACTAGNTAAAAAGTCTTGAATTGCATTATCAAATAATCCAATTTTTAATAATAACCTTTATTAACGTGTCTGGTCGTTCTAGTGCCTGTAGGAACTAATTGAGGACACCCATAAACGGGGTTCCGGTCAGTTCAGAGTCAGGGCACTTCATAGACAAACTGAATATCAACTTCCTCTTGGAACGCCTTCGTTCAATTGACAAAAACTTTGGGTTCCGAATGAAAAAAAAAAAAAAAGGCTTTTATATACTGTGTCTGTTATCTCAACTGAATGCCAGTCTATTTAAGGGACATATTTCCTGTCCCGAGGGGGTCTCTCGAATAAAGGTTACTTTTTCACGACCTTTTTATCTGTTTCCGTGAATGAGGGGACTCTAGTTTGGCTGCGTAACGGGCGTTGTGTATGTTATTTCCTGCGTATGTTGCTTACTTTCTTACCGAGCGCCTGTTACTCAAACTAGGCATCTCTGTTCGTGAGATACCCCTTTCAAAGGTGTTGCAGTGAGAGGGATTCCTCTGCACCAAAGTGGAGGGTTATCTTTCATGAAAAGGAAATAAGGAGATTCGTGAGGATATATGAATATTGGTAGCTTAGAAACTCTAGAAAAAAATTCTAGAAAGCTGATGTTAAAGATTCGGCAGAACCTACCGATGTGTCACAGCCTGAGGGAAAATATGATTTATTAAGTAAATGATCATGAAGGTGATTTACAGGAAGTTTTGGGACGCTATTCACCAGCGCTCAGTCAGGCAGCTCTTGTTAGCGTTGGCGGTGCCTGTAAATCATCTGCATCGCTTGTCACTGCGTTTCCGAGGACTGAAGTAGATAAGTGCCCAGGTCAGACTGCGCGGCACCTGGTTGATTGCGTTTTTATTAAAACCTAATTAGTACGGGAATAAACTACAAAAGTTTAATTTTTGTTTTATGAGTGATGATTAAATTAGCGATATCCTTCTGTCAGATTTTAAGAAGCGGTGTTTCCTGTGGTTTACCAAATCCTGACGCCAGCATTATCCTAAGATTAATGCGCGATGAAAGAAGATCGATGTTTACCCTTTCTAGAAAAAAAAAGTGTCCTTATTGTGATCATGCTGAGATCACGTGCGTTTCGTGTTAGAAATCCTTTAATTCCGGTATGCTTATAGCATGACAAAGTGGAAAGTTTCCAAACTTTGCTTAGAAAGTCGCAAAATGATTTCCACAAGCACACTTGTCTAGTGAAAAATTTGTTTCTCATCAGGTATACATCAGCCAAAAGCAAGTTTTCCAAGAACTTTCGTCACGATAATGTCAAAGTTACACTGCTATCTGTAGCCTCCTACACAGACGTTCTTTGGGCTCGTCACGCAATCTTCCTCCCCCAGGCTACTATATCTGTTGATGATTATTTTGTTTATCCTCGTATCAACAAACGTGGTCCGACCGAAAATCGCAGAAAAACGACTTCGCACACAGTTCTCAGAAATTTGCATACACAATGTATTACGCTCGTATTATCTGTGGATTTTCAGCTTTATATAGTTGTTTTATTGCTGTGATCAGAAAGATCTCTAAAACAAAGTGGAACAAGCGCCAACATCAAAGCTGTTGAAATTTTCATACTTTCCCTGTTCAAACTTTTTATCATTTTATATTCTATAGAAGTCCCATTCTTTTCCCTGCTTGGAAAATGGTCCTTCCCAATAATCATAGACACCCTCAGTCAAAAGAGAATACTTAACTATCTCTCTCTCGGCATCGCCTTCAGTCCACTTCCTTGTCTCATTTCACAACAGGCCTTGAGTCTTGGCTTAAGGTGTCTTAAGGCGTAAAAATGTTCTTTTACTTGCACAGATATCCGTTCCCAGCTCATCGATGTATACTAACCATGAAGTCATTTAATTTTACAGTTTCAGTTTCGCCGGCAATGGACTCGTCAGTCCACACCCACCTCTCCCTGCCCATGTCTGTACCTGGGACTCCTGACTTATTAGTGAACACTCTGGAGTTGAAACGGACTCTTCGGAAGTGGTCACATGACAAAGAAAAGGTAACTATGATGTCTAACGGGCTAAAAGACATGAAATTTTAGACACGCTAGTTGCATGACCTATAGTGAAGTCGCTAAGAGCTTTCCTGGTACAATTTCTGAACTTGAGGTATTAACCTTAGTATTTTTCTCTGTTCGGAGAAATCTAACGATTCGGAAGAGTTTGTGATGTCGAAGGTTTAACCGGTGGAACTTTGGTCTTAGATTTGGACGATAGCAGTGGGAAATTGTTCAGTTCGAGAATTGGACGATCGGTTGACGCTTTTTCCCTGCCAGCTACGGTCATCTCAAGCATCCAGTTGAGCATATTTGTCCAGCTCACTGCAAAGTAGTTCGTATTTGTAACTGATATTTGGGGTCAGCTTTTGCTCCGAGTAAAACTAGGATTTTATAGCTCTTAAAACTGATCAAACGTTTTAAATCGTTGCTGTCGAGGTTTTTCATGGACTTCTGCTTCTTCTGTCGACGTAAGCAGATGAATTGCTATGACACATTCATTTTTCGTGTTTTATCATCAGGATGAAGAATTCCTAGAACAAGAAGCGCAATTTCTTAATAGATTACAGAAGTCACGTGACACCAGCAAAGTAAAGTCCAGTCTTCCTCTGAATTGAATTGTTTCTTAACGTGGTCAAGTGAGTGCTATATAATAGCTGATATCGTTTTCTTGTATGTGTGTCTGTTTGTTTTTCTTTTTAAACGTTCGAGTCCCATAGGTAATAAAAACCGCAGTTCACGCACGAGTAAGGACACCATCTAATTGGTGAAGTAGCTGACAACTTTTACTTATTTCTAGAAAGTAGCATTTTGTCGGCGGGCAAGCAAGCAAGTAAACATGTTTCGTTGTGTGTTGAGATACTGCCATTGTTGCGGAGATATATTTGCACAATTGTTTGAATAACTTAAGAAGTCGAGTGAAAAATCTATCAAAGTGACAGAACCATTAAGTTTGGGCGACAGTCAGGCGACATGCGCAGAATCTTCTCTTTTGTTTTGATACATCGAAAATAGTTAATTAATCAGTAAGTTAGTGTAAGATTGTGTCTGTTTTAAATTTTTTTGTTTTTTATCGGTTATTACTCAACTTTCCTAGTTACCTAGAATGGGATGTGGCACCGAGTTGGCAATATGTTGGTATGCCAAGCTGTAACTCTCTCATTTTGTCGTTTCCTTTGTTTAATGACCAAAGAGGGTTTTCAAGGATATTCGTGTGTGTGGCTTCTTGCCAGCTTCTAAACTTGCATATCATTACATTCAGCAAGTCCGTCTGTGATGTTTTGACTCTGTTCCCATATATATAAATGGGTTTTCATTTTTCGTTTTGACAACATTTTGAGCGGTTCAACCTCAAAGTTGATAGGTCAGGTCAGCAATATTCTACTCAAGGTCAGATTTTATGGTGTGCACACATTATTGTCAGTTTAATGCACGTAAAATATGGCTGTCACATGAATACAATGCTTCTTCAGTTATGGAGTACTGTCTGTCTGCTCCTTAGAAGCTTTGCCCACCATTACCATCTAACACAATTGACAGTAACAAGGCTATCATAATGACGTCACAGAATGACGTGTTTAAGTGATCAGACACTTTGACCCTGAAACTCTTTTCGTATACTTTACTTGCCCGCCGACATAGCTCATTTCTTTTTTTGGAATGGAAGATGCCTGAGGAGGTCAAGTTACCGAATTTCTCTTATTTATTTATTTTCCAGCGATGTTCATACTAACCTCCAAATTAACAAAAACCGTAGAATGGAATGACATCGAAGGTGAAAGAATACTCCAAAAAGAAACGAGAACTTTAAAGCATGGAGAAGATTGTCAAGGACTGCAAATGAGCACGTAGACCAAATGTAGGCTGAATATCTGAAGTAGTGCATACCCTGGCGTAGCCTTTTAATTAAAAGCTGTGGACCTCGCTACAGTACTTAAACAACTACTTTTTAAAACTGTTTCTCTTTCTATGGTATTTTGGTCAGAGGATTAACTATTTTCAGGTACCTGACGTCACATTACAAGATTCACATTCTAATTTGTGGCTGTAGGACTGAAAATTGTAAGAATAATTTGTACAGATAATCATTCAAGGCAGAAATGACAATGTAAAGATATTTTCTTTGAATAACAAACTGGTAATAAATGTATTCGTATCAAAACCTCTGGCATTGAGTTATTAACATCATTCTAGTGAAATATACAGCCTCATTCCATGCCATCTTACTTAGTGTAAAACATGCTACGAAGTATAAAAGCTCTTCCAGTCGTCTGTAAACCAATAGAAAACATAAAAATTAAAAAAAAAAGCGTCCTTTCTGTAATGTGCCATATTCTTATTTTACCTCCTCCCAACGAGGGATCATGTAACCCATTTCTTACGTCTCTCCTACATTCTCCTCTAAAAATGATTTCCTCTGATTCCTCACGTAAAATTTTGCGCCCCTCATAATTCAGGCTCGCGATGCACTCTGAAAACCGACACAAACCGGATTCCTCTCAAGAATTCTACATTATCCACGCGAAGAAGGAACTTCAGTTATTTTGGTTACGCCCACTAAATTTGCGGCAAGAGTTTGCTTCAATCGATTATCTTTTTACAAACCGTCTTTTAGAGTTTTGAATAGCAAAACAGCAAATTATAAAGAAAAACGCGATCGTATAATTTAGTGTAAAGCCATGTTATCCAAATCTCTTTCTGTTAGATGATTAACGTAACAAATCGGTTTGATCGTGCATGCATGGTTCATGTGATGCCGTGATGTTTTCCTCGCAGTATTTGTGATAATGATTTCCGCTGGTCGAGGGTTTGGAAGACCTTCCGACTCGTGAAATTCCATTACAAAGCCATTAATGTACTCAAGGCTTCATACCAACAGTCAATCAATCTATCTAGCAGTCAATCATTCAATATATCACCACAAAAGCATTAAAGTATGATTTGATATCATCAATCCATGCATTAATCATTAATTTACCCCATCGGATATTGAAACAAGCAGTTTATAAATGCGTTGTATGTCATTCCTTTTTCTTTCAGTTTAGACTTTGCGATTTGCCAAAGTTGTCACAAACAAAAAGTTTATGACATAGCCCGCCAAAGCAGTATTTAAAACCGCTATTTTTGTTCCCGCTAGCGTTTCATGTTGTACGCTAAAACCAATATTTCAGTCTAAACTCGATATTCTGTTGCTATTTGGGGCGGTAAAGTTTTCGAACAAAGGTGTGCACAAAAACTTCAAAACAATGCTACCAACACCAAAGGTATACGATATTTAACGGTGACTTTCACAACTAATTATTTTTCATCGTGTTTGCCCAAAGATGTTATCAACAGTTTGGTTAGAAGTTAACTTTTACCTACTGGTACATGTGTATTATGCATGAAGCTGAGTTTTTTTGGAAGCTCTGTTTAAAAAAAGCTCGATGTTGTCTTGGAAAGCAATAACGGTCGTGATATCCTTTTTGTTGGAAAATATTTGTCAGTTAACTAGAAATTCTGTTCAACGCACGAAAGGCGAAACGTCACGTAATTAATTACTCAAGTAAACTTCTAAACAAAAAAAACGGAACAGATTCATTCTTTTAACTGGTGCAGCTTCCCGATCATGAGACGTTTACTTATAATGCTCCAAACATAAAGGCGTATTCCCTCACATATGTCTAGCCTGCTTCAGCTGTCAATCGTTAGAACTATTTTAGCGGCTCTGAAGACTAAAAACAACTGAATATAGAGAATTGCCAACTTACAATCTCCACACAAACAAAGAGCATTGGGCACAATATTTAAAAATTCATATTTGATGGAACATTGTGTCTAAAATTAGCAAAATAAAACATAAAAACTAAAAAAAAATGCCGAGTATAAGATTTCAAAAGGAACCTGTTTCTTTGAGTTGATGAAAAAGAACAAAAGGATCAACTTATAAATATTTCTCAGTGGGCTTCACTTTATCATCGAAGAGTTTTGGTGAATGCAATAATATATTAAAAAGACTGTTTAACAAAGTGCAATGCAATCTATTTTAAGAGAATATGAACATGAACAGTTTTAGCCTAAAGTCGGTCAGATAATACAAATATTCGGCCCGGGTAATAACAATAAACATTCCTGTAGAAAAGAATGTGTATTGTATTTAATTCACGAACCCACTAAGCAACATCATCAATCGATGTACTTTTTAGTTGGGCTAAATAATCAAAAGATACGTATTCACATGGAAGTAATTCGGCAAGACTAAGGAGGGAACGCTTTATTTTTAGATTTGGAACATGCCATTTTCATTATATCAAAATTCAAACTTGGGCTTGGGGGAATAAAACAAACTAAATCACATCCAGGTTGAGGGATGAATAACTAATTTCTCTTGTTTTGTTCGCCTAAGCGTCGAAGCTATGTTGGATTTTTAGTATATCGAAAATGACCTATTGTTCACTGTTTAGAGCCAACTATGAGTGAGCCCCTATTTAGAAGCCACACTTGTTTTTCGCTCATCACGCTTGGGAATTTTAAATTTTTGAATCATATTAAGACGAGCTACCTCTCAACGTGGTGTTGCAAATTGAAATTCTTGATCATTTGTTGATTCAAGCAGTTTTGCAATTATTTTCAAAGGTTTACCTTGAGAATCTAATGACCTTGACTGTACAAGTGCTTGCTATAATATAAGTTCAGGTAGTAATATGAAGAGACAGCACAAGTGGTAATTAAGTTTTCGAGAAAACTTTCTCTTTAAAAGAAAATGTCAAGCCTGGCCACGTGATTTGTTTTTCGCAATGCAGAATTACACGTGGAATGGAGATTAGGTTTTTGCTGTTGTGTTAGGGGCATCTGACTCTAGAAATCGCATCAGTTCTATCTGTCTTGTATCCAGTTTAGAGGTCCAGCTAAGGTTTAAGCCGTCGTTGTACTTCGACAAAATGATATGGTAAAGAACGGAGGCAAGAACTTATTTCCGTCACCAGTCACACTATCTCTAGGGATCTTCCTGGTCAACTGAGTTATTACTTAAGGCCAATACAAAACCTCATTCAAAGTGTAGCTTCGCTCACCCTTTTCCCTCTTCCTCGGTATATACAAGTTTTTCCCAGGTTAGAGCAATTTGTTACTTAAAAGAGATTTGAAAGGTCGTAGACCGAAAGGTGCTAAGAAATGGGGTTCGAAAGTAAATAGGCACCGTCTTGGAAAAGGGAATAACTGAAAGACTGTAAGGTCACCACACTTCGATACAACAGTTTCACCTCCCAGCTCCTTTCAATGTACGTAGAACAGTTCCATTGACTGGAACCAAGCTAGAGTTTTGTTTCTCTGAATAAGGGGGCGGGGGGAAGAAGAGGGAGTGAGGGGAGAGGGGCTGGGTAAATAGTTTGAGGCGGGAACAGAAGTGGAAAGGATCTTACGTGTAAAATTTCCTTGTTCTGTGGAAAAATTTCTTGATATTTGATTTTAACTTTGAACTTCCTCGAATGCTGAACATCGGGCTATTGTGTTCTGCTTTGAAACAAAAATAGCAAATGTATTCATTATGCGTGCTTGAAACAACCCCTGGCGCCAATATATAGTTTAAAATTAAACATTTTCTAAATTGGCCTTAAATCACAAACAACTACTCGTGAATGTTTCCACACACGGAGGTCTCCATCTGGTTACATCTTTTCCCAGATTAGGAAAAAGATCTGCGTAGTACGTGCCTAAAATAAACAACTATGCAAAGAATCCATAACTCCTGGGGGCTTTTAACGTAAGCAACTTGTACATAGCACAGTCCGGTAGATTGGCTATAGTTATCTGTTTAAGTGACTCTTATTTAGCGCTCTTCGGTCAAGAGCCGATTGGATATTGAGTGTAGTTTGGGAGTGAAAGATTGCCACAGGAATCCCTTTCAATCATCTTCCTTAGCAATGTGGCTTCATGCCCCTCATGGAATTGTTTACTTTTTGAACACCAGCCATCCATGAAAGTTTTCTATAGAATATTCGCTGTGACCTGTCTGTCTCGAGCCAGCATAGTTAACAATGGTGCCAGACAGCAATTCGAAACCTGTTTAGACTTCTTGCTAGCTTCATGTTCTGATTTCCCAGGGCACTATCACAAGGTTTCGCCGATCGTGTTTAAAGCAATCCGAAATGCGGTGGCATTGTAAATATAAGATCACTGGTTTGAGTTTAGTCACGCACACGTCTCGAGACCTCGGCTATATCCAAAATGCAAATATCACTTTAATATACTAACCGAGTGAACAGGCGATCAATTCGCGTGATTTATTATCGCTTATTTGAAGACTAATTATATCTTGCAGATATGAAAGACTTGCGCACGCAAGCCAAATTAATTATCAACACAATGTAAACTTCTTTATCAAACTTTGTAGATATTCTCTAGGATGGGGGGAGTGACCGAACCTGAGATAAATTCCAACTTCCTCGGGCAAGGAAAGCCTAACTGTTCGTTTATAGCGTTCTCAGAACGCGCTTAAAAAGTTTCTTTTATATTAAAATTTACTGCACCTATCTTTAATCTGAACATAATTGTTTGTAGGTAGGTGGAGCATGGAAAAATATATCTCCAATTTCAGTGGAAATATCTTGAAAACTTTGCGTCCAAGGACTTATGAGGTTTTTCACAGTGCAAGCCTCGAGAGATGGCAATGAATCATTCATTTGTTGTGCGCTCGAGACAGCAGACAGCAAAACAGTGTTGAAAAAGCAAGGTGTTATGAATGTCTACAGACCAGCTTCAGTCTTATCTCGCATTTTTTTTTGCGTGCCTGTTTGAGCCTGCAGATGCCGGACTTGATAAGAAGGACCACCTTACACCTATCATCTAACATTTCACTCACAAATTACTCCAGAATAATGAGTCATGATATTACCAGAAGCATGTAATATTACAAAAATGACAACGTGTTGTTAGCATTTGTACTCGATCATTCAAGGCCATCTGTAGGCGCCTCGTTATCAACGAGAACGGATTTTTCCACCGCGGATCGTTGCTTTATCGAACAACTTGAGGAGAAGGAAATTGATCACGTAAAATGGACGGTGTATCATGTTTAAACAAAACCCGCTTGGCCTCTAGTTGGAAAATTAGCGTGACATATTTAACATAGCGGTTTTCGAGATGCTAAAATCTTGTCTGCAATATTATTAATCCGCTCCTCTTTCAACGATCGATTTATATGTCGAGAAACCGAGGGGGGCGAGAAATTTTTCGCGTCTACACCGACTCTCTGGATATGTACTTCCACTATCTTGTTAGCACTTCCGGTCCGCCATGCCCGTCTTGCGTCGCAATGATTTCTTTTCATATTGATTTCCGCCTATGAGAGGTTATACGCGCCCAAAAATAATATTTGCAATTGTTTGGTTAAAATGACCGGAAATCTGAAGGGAATTTTCGTATTGTAGCTCTGGTTGCGTCTTATGTATGAATACTTATCGCTCATTGGCAAGGCTGAAGCCCCACTGAGATTCGCACTCGATTGAAGTAACTTCATTTACATTCATTTTAATTACATAATTTTGTGGTTTCGGGAGTGCGAACGCGTGACTTGGGGCTGACGATAAATTAGTCCGATGATTTAATCGCGCCTGATTTATAACAAGCGGATTCGAGCAGTAATCGTTCAGTGTGTATAGCGATACCCATAGGGAGTTAGTTACAGTTTAAGGTTTCAGTACGCTCGATCTTCAAAGCTAACAACCGATAGAGATTTCGAAAAGACATGGCCCGTGTTCTGACGCACTTTTTACCGATTGTGTTTGTTTTGGCACTTTCGCTGGTTTCAACAGTCGTTGCGAAAAGGCAATGTCCCAAAGCCTGCAGAACTTATATTGCAGGTGAAGTAGAGGCAAAAATCAGTAAAGCTGTCAGGGTGAGTATTAACACATCTTTTTTACTTCAGTTCTATCTTTGTCGGCGTTAAATTTATAACGTTAATGATTTTCTTTTAATTAGAGCGGGGTTCTTAGCTTTTGTTGAACATAGAATGCTGTATTAAACTTTTGACAGGAAAGCGAAAAGACCGCTTTTTTATCGTGCCGAATCGCAAGATGGTTTAAGCTCTTTAAGAACTTTGGCTGAGTACAAAATAGTTGAAAACAAGTGCTGCTCTGTGAATTTTCGTTTCGTCCCGAGACACCATCTAGTAAGTGCAGAAGACAACGGCACTTCGACGTTTAATTGATAAACAGCATTTTGAAAAGATTTCTGCTCTGTTGCGTTGATGCGCTTGTTAGCATTTCAAAGATTAAACTTTACTGTTTATGGATGTATAAGTTTTTTTTTTCTGCTTCCGTGCAAAGTACTTGGCACCTAAAAATTTATGTCCACTCGACTGCAAGCTTATGGGCTGTGTATTGACAAAGGATGTTTTTGTCGTGAGAATGTTGAATGGCTTTGCTCCAACGGAATGCAATGGCATGCAAATTACAGGTTATGAACATCACAAATTAAACACTGTCAAGCCAGCCTTTGTTGTCCCAGGTACTGCTAAGACATGTCAAAGTGCTAAACCAATGAAGAATGTGCAAAATGAGATAACATCGAAAACAAGGCCGGGATAATTGCGTAACGGTAGCTGAGTTGCTTTTAGGATGTCGAGGCCATTCAAAATGGAGGAAAGTTGTGTTGTCGTTTTGGATTACGAAAACACTTCGCTTATTGTGGCACCGCTTGAAGTCGCGGTTTTTCTCGAAATATGAGTCATGTTTAATTGAAAACATGGCTACGACCGGAAAAAGGATGATTTGAGAGAAATGAAACGCCGTGAAAATTGAGTGATTTTTTGACCCCGCGCACGAAATAGCAACCAAATGTTTTGTTTTCAGCCCTCCCCTGTTAGGAAACATTCTTAGCTGTTAAAAGGATTCATATTATCTTTTAATCTAGCGCTCTCTCTTAACCGAAAAGTTTTTAGAATATACCCCTCAGAGTGAAAACGTGGCCTGTGTAGTGTACCTCAAGACCAACTCGTGACGTTATCACTAATCACAACAAGGAAATCGAAACAATAGACCATTTGTCCCGCGGTTAAAAAAAAAAGAACTGTCAAAATTTTCCACGCTGAACCATTACCAATGACAGTTCTAAGTGTGGGTTAAAGCGAGATAATGATGCACTGATGCAATATACACTTTGTTTATTTCTTAACTTTGGCGAGGCAATACTCAATCTCTCGGTTACTTTGACTATGAAGTCAATCTACAGGCCATTAATAACGTATTGTACAGCAGCTTAAAATAGCGCTCGTCAAAGAATGTGAATAACCCGCAGTATACGTTTCGATGAAGCTCGCTTTTTTTTTTTTTTTTTTTTTCTAGTGTAATGTTAACCATCGAAACTGATAAGAAAGTTTCTGGAATAAAATGACCGTTGCCCTTTTTTGGGCAAATTGTTCAGGTGTGGCCAGTTTCGTGTCACTTGTTAAAAGTGGAGGAAAAATCCTTTTTTAATGCAAATGATTTACATGGTTTTTGCTGGTCACTCAGCATGACAAAAACAAGCCTGTGGTGGCAAGGACACAAAGCGTAAGTCTTGTGGTATTAGACGAGAATTTGAAGCATTTTTTCCAATTATTTGGAATCAAGCGTTGCGGTCACGTGAAGTTTTTTGTGCGCAAAGCATTTTCTTCAAATCTTATCTGTCCGTTTACCTTTCAGAATGTTGAAAAAGGAAAACGTGGTCCACGAGGAAGACAGGTTAGAGAAAAACGCTCTTCTTCCGGTGTTTTCAGGGTGGTTTCTGCCATTTTGTAGATTGTTCTGTTGCATACGTAGTAATTGGTAATTAATCATACATTCGTTCATTTTGTTCCGCTTGCTTGCTTCAGTAATAAATTAACCAGGGCCTAAAATCAAGGTGAAGGTTAACTCGCGTACATCCATTTAATTTAACAACACATACTTGACATGTTGGAAATTAAAAGAAATTGCCAAAGGAGGTGTTGTTCAAAGCCATTCTGGCATTCCAAACCAACAACGATAACAGCAAAAACAACAACAATAGCAAAAATAAAATAAATGCAGAAAAACATTAAAAAGTAACAGCCAACGAAAAAAAAAATTAAGGAAAAGAAAAAAAATCGTTCTCGCGACGGTTTTAAATCTGGATCGATCAGGAAGGTCAGGAAAATAAAAGAAATCACACCAAATCACACCGACTAAAAGAAGCTCGTGATGATTAAACAAATTCTCCTTGTGTGCACCTTGGGAAATGTATAGAGAACAGTATCGAGAATGTGCATGCTGATGTTAGGGTGTAGGGGGCTAATCATGCTTCTCCTCACATTCTTCTACTGTTTGCTTTCATCATTAGGGTGTGCAGGGACCTATTGGGCCTCAGGTACTATGTCATGTTACTGCCGCTAATTTGTAACTTACTCTGCACCTGCTAATTTCTGCTTGTTGCTTATTTACTTTTGGCTTGGCAACTACTTTCGCAGCTCTCGAACACCAAATCACTGCATAAATTGTTCCAATGTGATATTTTACAATGCTCTTCAGCGTACAATAGAACTTAGCCCGAGCCTAAGTTGAACCCTGCTGACTCAAACTGCTAAGAGCTAGAGAGACCAAAATCAGTTCAAGATAATGTGGAGTTTGAGGTTGCGGCGAAAATGCCCTCCAACCGATGAAAATTCTATCCAATAAAAATTCTGATTCAAGTGAGTTCAAGATTGTCAGGTTTAATCATAATAAGAGCAAAATGACATATTACGCGTGCTTGTTCCATCATTTTTTATCTTTTTCTTTTTTAGGGTTCACCAGGCCCTCGTGGAGAGAGAGGCCCCATGGGTCCTCAAGGACCAAGGGTGAGTTGGGCACTAACTAAAAAATTGTCGGTTGATTTCTCAGTCTTTGCCCGTTTTCTCCAACCGATGCTGTGGTTTTTTTTTTGTACTTTTGCCCCTGATCTTTGCCTTGTGAGGTGTGTGTTGTTTTAAAATTATTTTTTTTGTCTCAGGGAGAGCAGGGTCCACAAATTTCCCTTCCAATATGTGAACCAGGAGAGTACGTCACATCCGACGGGAAGCAGTTAAAATGCGTTAAATTTGGTACGTCATGAAAGATTTGCTCTATTCTGGCGTCTTTTACTCATGGTGACTTAGCTGTTTATTCAGATCGTTTCAGCTCGTAATATTCCTGATTAGTTACTTTGATTACACTAGTCTTGAAATAGATCCTTTATGCGTAACACACCCATTAGCACGCCCCAGTACCGCCCACTTCGGGTGACGTCATTGCGTGGAATGAGTAACGTAAAATAATCAATAAAGCGTGTGAAAGATTCACTGATGCATAACGAAAATGTTTTTCTACGTAGTTCGGCGATTTTTGAATAAAACTTCTTTTTAAACTCTTTCGTGTTCTTTGGAGATATTTAATCTCTTTAAACCTTTTGTCTCTTTTTCGCTTTGGGACGAAGTAGAAATCCAGTATTTATCAAGCCTGTTTTAACGTTGTTTTTTTATTTTTTTTTTTTTTATTTTCCAGGTGAAGAAGTTTGTAGAGCTGTATCAAAATGCGAGGGTACTTCAGGTACTTGTCAACACTGTTTGTCACCACTTTGATTATTGTTGCTATCGTACCAAAGATTGAAGCACAATATTGAAGAGTTTTGTTTGTTTTATGTGGTCAGTGAAGCAATCTCTAGTTCAATCAGGATTCATGCTGATAATTGGTGATGAAGCAAATTTCTAATTGCTTTTTCCTTTCTATTTATCCAGGTTACCAATCAACAACACCCACCATTTCCACAAGTAAGAAACATTACGCTTTGTAATCCACCGAAATAGTGACAGGGAATGTTCTACAGATTTCGGCGATTTTTAATTAAGAGAACGAGGCTTTCAAATGACGTCCCCAAATGATGAAGTATTCTGACAACATTATTTTAAATTGATAATTTGGGTAAAGTTATGAGTTGCCTTCACATACCCATGCAGGGTGTACGCTATCATGCTATGTCATGTGCCTAATTGTTAGTTTATTTTAAGGACATAAATGCTTTTTTCGTAATATGAACAAAGACAGAAAACGCAACACGAAATACCTTTGCGGTCAAATTTTACCAAGAAAGGAAATTTCAGTAACGAGTTATTTCATTATTCCATAGTAATAGTTTACTGGAACAAATTAACGACCGAATCCACCTTCTAGAAAGTGAAATTTGCGGTGACTTAACTACAATTAATACCCCTTCCAAAACCAAACCAACTGTTGGCTCTCCAATGGTCGCGACAGTTCTAAGCTATACATACCCACCGCTCTTTACAATTTTTGTCGATAATATGGTTGAAGGCGTTAATTGTCCAAGTTGCGGAATAGTTGAAAACTGGCCTAAATTGCGTTCAGTAATTGATGGAATGTATTTCTTTTTGCAGCACCAACTCCCACTCAGCCTCCAGTGAAAGGTAAGAACTAGATGATGGGGAATTGGGGCGAGATTTGATCGCCATTCAAGGTACAGCACAGCGGTCTTTTAACCCCGTTACTGACTACGTGACTGACCTTTTTGCAGTGAACGTAACCATGACCAAGTTTATGAAGAAATACATGATACAAACCCTGTACATGGACGCGTGGGACCTGGGAACATTTTACATAGGCGAGCAGCTGTTCCTTGGGGTGTCCCAGCTCGGAGGGAAAAGCTTTGTTATTTACAAGTGGGACAACGACCATAGGTGAGCACGTAAATGCAAAACGCTCATAGTCCCCAGCCAGGTTCTGCTTTGTCAGGAGCCAATCACCGCTCAGAGTTTCCGTCATCCATACTTTAGTGCAAAGATGTTTGTGAAAAATCGGATGTGTTAAGATATTCTTGGAGATTCTCCACCTTTCTCCCGTGAAAACTGTTGTCACCGATGTCTCTATCAAAATGAGTCAGGAGAACCATTTTTTCGACGGTGTCATAATTTCGTTGGCGTGATCATCATAACTGTTATAGGATGAGTATCTGAGCAACTGCGCACCCACCCCTCCCATAACCCAACTTTAACCCTAAATTGTTATCAGTTGACTGTTGTCGGGCAAGGAAAGGGGTAAGTGCGTATTTGCTCAGATACTGACATCGATTCATTGTAATAATCGTAATTGACTTTTTATCCAAACTTAACCAGCGAAACGAAAGTTTTATCTTTTCACAACACTAGTTATTAAATCCTTGTCCAGAGTAAAGTATGGAAAACTTAACACTCTGAGTCATGCATGCAGTCAATAGCCATTGAGTGTTTACACAAAACTCACGAATCAAAACGTCGGTTAATATCTGAGGTGTAGCTGTTGTCAATCATAGCTACGAAGGCAACCAAATATTGTCGATTACGTCATATCTAATACTCGTTGTGCTAACAAAGCCGTCACCCAATCAGGATACAGCTCATTGCTTACGTCATTATGATTGACAGTAGCTCAAGAGCCATTTCTCGGGTGGAATTAATAACATCTAAAGTAGCGTAATTTTTTTCGATAAAATTAAAAATCTTAAAGTCAGTTATTTTGTTTTATTGCAAAAGCAACATTCGACGTTCATCGTTCTTTTGTGCGTTTCATTTTTTATTTATTTTATTTGGTCTTACTTGACTTGTGTTCAATAATTATTTGTTGTGAACTCAGTAAGTGTCTTTTCATATTCAGTGACAAATCGTTGGAACAAGATTCCAGTTACAGCCCGTGAGTGCATATTTCACATGATAATCCACATAATATTAATATTAATTAAATCATTTCCACACACTGTAATAATAATCACCCACTCGCACATAGGTATCACTGTTTGGTTTCCCTGACAGTCTGACAGCATTAATGTTCAACTTCGTTAACAGTATAATCTTCCGTCGCCCTGTAGTTCAGTTTTGGTCATTGTGTTGTAATTGTTTTCCTGTTTTTTTTTTATTTTATTTTTCCTTGTTTCCATTTACTTTCTATCAATAAACCAACGACACACTTTGACCTCAAAGTAGAGACTGACAAACATGTACAATTTTGGACAGAACAATGAAAAGATATATTTAGTGAAAATTTAGCGCCACTTTGATATCAGTAGAATGCGGGGAGTGGGGAAAGGGGAAAGAGGGAGGGGAGGGTGAAAGAGGTTTGCTTTGTCCAAACGGAAATGACAACGTGAAAACAATACAACTTTTTCATTCGCAAGAGACTCAAAGATGAATGCATTTTAACATATGGTTACGTCTTTCGGTTCTGTGGAGTTTCGAGTTTGGGTTCAAACTTAAAGTCAACTTTTCGTTTCATCTCATTAAGCTGATAGTGAAAATGCTATTTAATGGATTGACGATTGAATAAACAAATGAATTAGTGGATAAATAAACTAAAATTAAAGTTTATGTTTGAAAGATAATAGCATGAATAAATAATTGAATGCATGTCGTTGTTGAAAACTAATCTAACCTCATCACTTACCCTTAAATCGATATTTACTAAATCCACGTCAAGCTACTTAAAATACTATAGCCAGTTCTCAATTTAACGCTCGATTTTGCTTCAATCAGCACTTATCAACCAGATCTTGTGATTTGTTTACTTATCTCTATCAACTCAAACTCGAAACTCACACTGCAGTTCTTCCCAGTTTCCAGATCTCCCACCCCATGACTCCGCCTTGGGGACACACCTAAGCCTTTCAGGTGCAGGCAGGCCAAGCATTCGTCACGACAAAAGACGATGTACTACATTGAGTAAAGACAGAATATTGAAACAAAATTACATTAGTTATCAAAATCATAGCTCTAAAAATTCAGGTTGAATGGAATTCGAAGGAATGACTTCGTTTTGATATCAGGGCAGCGCTCCAATAGACTGAGCAGTCACACCAACAGGGAGCTGTGATTTCTTTAATCCGCCTTCCAAATATGTGGTGTCCATATGGACTCTAACAGTCATTGAAATGGATTTATCCCGATTACTGCACGTAAATTGAGGCTGCCTGCGCCAGGGTTCCAGGCGTTTCGTTACGAGACAGTTACCCCTTGCATATGTCTAGACCTGTCCTCTTGGCAAGGACGGAACGGAAACTTACTTCACAATATGATATACGGATAATTCTCAAAAACAAAATGTGCATTTCTCTCCTTTTTCGACGGCAAATCAGCTGATATTTTTTCCTTTTTCTCTCTTTTTAAGGTTCCGCAGTTTCCAGATCCTCAAAGTTCCTTTCAGTCGAAAATGGCAACATTTCGTCATCGGGGAAGACGTCTATTTTGCAGTGGCTAGCAATTCTCGCTCACACGACTCTCCGATCTTCAAATGGAATGGAGATATGTTTGTTCCGTTCCAGGCTTTACCCACAGTGAAAGCCTTTGATGTGGAACCTTTTAAGATCGGCCAAGACACCTACTTGGCCTTGGCCAATTATTATGGGCGTGGTTCACAAATCTACAAATGGGATGGTGAGAGGTTTGTTAAGTTCCAGGATATTGCTGCTGTAGGAGCTGATGTGGAGCATTTTGAAATGGATGGTACCGCGTATTTGGCTGTTACAGGTATACCACTTTTTCATTTTTTCTTTTATCACATCTGATATACTCAACTAATTTTTCTAATGGCTTTACAACGAAGGTATTTTGAAATTACTCAGCAAGTCAATTTGACGAAGTCCACGCCGTATTTCATGGAAATTTCAAATTTTGATGCAATTTTCCTCTGGTTAAATGATTAAAAAAAATAATACAAAAGGTAAACGATATATTTTTCATACGCCGAATAATAATCGCTTCAAGAATTCGATTGTAGACAGCCTTGCACCCGGGCCAAATTGTATTTTATTTTATTTTTTTTGGCGATGGAAGAAACCCAAAAAAACCTTTTTTGACGACTGACATAAAAAGTACATATAAAGAGGAAAGAAGGAGTTTGTTCTCTTCACTAAACATGTATCGTTATCCTCTTTCCCAGGGCCCTTCTCTCGCGGCGCCTACGCATTGATCTACAAATGGTCTGGATCCAGGTTCGAAGAATTTTACCGGCTTCCCACAGGAGAGCGAGCTTATGGAGTCAAGGCACTTTCTGTTGATGGCAACCAATTCTTAGCTGTGGCCCGTTGGCGGGCACAGACCTCCCTTATTTTCCGCTGGAATGAAACACATTTTGACCTCTTCCAAGAAGTTCCATCAAGAAGGGTAAGATATAAAAAGATGAACATCAAATTTTTCCTCGTAATCTTGGCACACTGTTGATTGACCAGTCATATAAAGTGGGACCTTACTTTAGAATACTTCTATTCAGTAGAGACAACCATTTGAGATCCCAGTGAAAAAATGCTTTAAATAATTTGTACCTTTGTACCTGTCACTTACTTCAAGAGACACCTGAACCCAGAGAAGAATTTTCCTAGACCTAAAGGATCCCTCCCCCCCCCCCCAAGATAGTTATGGACTTGAGACAAAAGCTTTGCCTTACCAGCAAACTGTGGAAAGTAATTCTATAAGAAGTTAACGAAAAGGATGTCAGGAAAGAAATGATCAAATAGCTTCTAAGCACAACAAGAAACAAATGAATTTTTTCCTCAAGTGTAAAACATTTCAGAGGAAAAATTTTTTAGGCGGTCCCCTTGTATAAACTTGCGAGTCATAATATATTGAGTTGGAGAACTTATCCCTTTTTCCCTTTGTGGATCAAAACGAGAAGAAGAAATGAAATATTTTTAGCGAGCTCCAAAACTATTGTGAATAACAATACACCGAATACCCTCTTTTTGATCATATGGTTTTGTTGTTCACAGGCACGTGACTGGATCTCAATCACGTCTCCGTTCATGTCACGTGAGAAAACCTACCTGGCCATTGTGAGTAGCGACCAAGACCCGAGCATCTACGCATGGGACAGGTATTACACGAACAAGTTTGTCAAGGTACAAGACATTCCATCGGAGAGAACGCGAGATATGGTGTTTTTCAACATGGGTGAGAGCGTGTACTTATCTGTAGCTTCTCATAGAAGCACCGACATTTACCAAGGATCATAGAACTGTTCACCAGCAATAACATTGAGAATAAGATTTCCAAGTGATCCTGGATGTCTCGACCTTTAAAAAAGCGCGCTGTTCTCGCGCGAAAGAGGACGTTTGAACGATGTGTAGTGAAACATTCAGCTAGAGTTCAAATTCTTAATTTTCAACTGTTAGCGTTTTTCGCGACTTACATATGATTTTTCACCTCGTTACTGGAAACCGATGGTCAACAATGAAGACTTCATCAAGAACAATAGCGTTAATGCTCCTTTTAAGGATCGAACAAGTTGAAGTAATATTTCATATTTATAGCAATACACATATTAGAAAAATTTGTATATTATCTTCCTTTATCGAGGACAATGACTATTTTGTGTACCCATTGCGTACCTATGTTTTTGGTCACGCGACTTGCGACGAGTTGACGGCGTTTCCAATCGTCTTAGCGCTGTGTCAACGCCCAAAGGAAATAGATCCAGAGTTAAATCAATCAAGTCATGGACAGAGGGATCAGTTCTGCCGAAGTGGGTCACTATAGGTTAATAGAATAGTAATATATTATTAGCAGACCTGCGTTTGCAGGCAGGGGAATGGTAGAAGAGGCAGAGCTTCCTCTAACTGATCTTAACACACAAGGTAAAACAAGGAGGGGGGGGGAAGGGGGTGTCTCACTAAGTCATCTAGGCTTTGTCTTTGCACTCCACCACAACACTAAAGATTTTCAACAAAATAGAACGTTTAGTTCGTCTCACAAATTGAAGAAAAGTTTGAGGCAAAACCAGGGCGAATGGTGGTGGGGAAGAGGCACTTACAAAAGTTTGGGCAGGGCGAGAGGATGCGCTTTAGAAGCCCTAAAACCTCCCCTCTTCCCGACCTTGAAGACTCGGAACCACGAAAAGGGTGTCCCAATACTTCCCCTCCCCCACCCTTAACCCCGTACTTCTCAGTTTAAAGAAAGCTATCTGCGTCAAAAAGGAGTCCAACATAGAGTATACTCTCTCCTCATGTAAATAGGTAATCAGTTGATGTTTTGAATGTCAAAATGACTATGTTTAGAAACAACAATAAAGATATTAAAAACGATTTGCTTCTTTAAAGGTATTTCCTCCAGTATTCTTGGGTTTTACATCGTTTAGTTCTACCTTTTATATGCTCAAGCTGAGTGGTTTTTAAGTGGTACTAATAAGCCTGCGAAGCAGTCACTCAGAAAGTTATCACGAGTGATTTGACACAACACACGTAAGCGAGAATCCAGGGAGAGAAATTCAAAATATTTTCTGGCCAATGTAACCAGTTCCCTAAGCAAAATACAGCGCTTCCATCTACGCAAGACCATGTAACCCTTTATCTTTTTGTGCTAGATTTAAATAAGTTTTACAAGATACTCTATTTTTCACCAAACCTCAGAATTAGTTTTATCATCCTTCATTATCCTGCCTTTAAGAATATTACTGAGGGTCACACTGACACAACGTTTCAGTATAGAGCGACATACCAAAGAAGGGTTTTTAGGAGACTTCCAATACCTGCTGTTGATGACAAAAGAACTTGGGACGCTAAATCGTTCCTGGAATAACTCCTTTTATTTCAGAAATCCTTATTCCATTTAGAAGCACCGCTTCCCCTTAAAGAATATTGAAATTAAGTGGCAGAGTCACAGATAGAGAACCCAATATTGTATTGGAGGCGAACTCCTTTACAGCCATGTTGAGAAAAAAAGACAAAGCGCCTAAGATTTCATTTTTTACTGAATGTAGGACCCTAACACTATAGTCTGCCTCGACTGATTCATTCCCTCTGGCTCCTTTGTGTGGTTTGAATAAAAAACGGGGAGTCTCATAGTTCGTCCATTTTCAAATCATGTCATTTTGTTGGTTAGAAAGACGTGTTTTCCCATTTCCCCTACTTGTCTTTCTCTTCTCTACTCGTGAAGTCTACTAAAACAGAAAACAGAAAACACCTCTTGTTATTTATCTCTTGCCTCTACAAAAAAACTTATCACTCAGTTCAAAATTACATATTTTAAAGTTCTGTAAGCAAATAAAAGAAACGTCAAATATAAAAACCTTACCAAAATTCCATAAACTTCTTCATGCAAATTAACACCGACCTCACCTCCAAGATTTATCTTGCGAGGCTAAATTTGCACGTGTAAATCTTTCGCCTCATTTAAATTTAATGGTTCCTCGTGGTTTGCACCGTTTTGCCTCTCATTGAAGTAAAGAAAGCTCGACAAAGTCTTCGACCTAACCAAGTGTAAGGACCAGGGATGATCAGAAGCCGTTGCTCTCACTTAAACACCTGGAGAGGACTAGCATGAACTTTTCACAACTCAACAAACGGTCAGAGTTAGAGTGAGTTCAACTTGTAAGTTGTGTTACAACGAACGCACTTGCGAAGTTTGCATTAAGTATATATATTACCTAAAAATTGAGGAAGTTTTTCAAGCTGTCAGTCGACAATCAATACTTTAATCAGATCTCCGTTAGAAGATTTGATGTATACAATTTCATGACCGAAGCAAAAGTTGTCGATAAATTGTTCAAGTCCGCTGAAGCACAGAGGCTTGGTGACAACGGTAATTATTTGCCTCGCAGTAGATTTAAACCTAGTGAAAACTTGTAGGATGAATTAGGTCCAGTTGTTTTGACTAGGCCTGAAAACACATTTGAAAATAGATGTTGTTACGAGACAGAAAGAAATATAAATTGTTTTTTGGTCTGAAGCTTTTAGAAAGTTTGAGTAAACCTCAAGTGCGGTTTTATACGTTTTTAAAAGAACTCACAATTTGGTCGTCATCAGTCTTTTAAATGCTATAGAGTATATCAAAATAACTTTGATGGGAAAGGTGGAATCAAGAGTCGTGAGAGACGGAAAATATTTGAAGAGTTATTCATTTCTTTGTTTAAACATTTATTAATTTATTCATTTCTTGATTTTTGTTCTCTGTTTGTTTTATTCTCTGTTTGTTTATTTATTTCTTAATATGTCCTCCTCAAAATTCGTTTGTCTAATTCACTTAGATAGGAACAACTAATGAAAATGGAACGTTTTCTTGAGAAAGCCTCTGTCACTGGACTTTCTAAACTCCGCTAGATACAGAACTTTTATGATTATTGAAATGTTGGGTGTAAGCAATGAAATTCTGCGCAGATAATATTTCTTACCAAATTTCATTTTTTGGTGGCGATGTTGAGGTCGTTTTTAGTTTTGCATCTGATTGGTTGAAAGATTGGCGCGAGTTTCTGGACCAATCACAGGGGAAAGTGAAGCAAAACCAATACAATTATGAATGACTATCAATATTCGATCAATTGAAAATTGCTCTACTATCCAGGCTTTGATGATGATGACGATGACTTTATTTAAACTTGGATGAAAATGAGGCTTGTTAGGCCTCTAGCAATAGAGATGCTAATATACCGAGAAAAATGTATGAATATAAATTACAGAGTTTAAAAATAATATAAGCCTAAATATAAATGATGATATAAATGATGGTGATATAAAATTACAAATTACTTAGATTTCTTATCTCATTCCTGAAAGGGCCAAATTCAGCCATTAATCTTAGCTTATCAGGTAATGCATTCCAAGCCTTAGCAGCAATGTAAGAAGTTGATTTAGCGAATGAGATACGATGCAAATTCGGTGATTAAGTCCTTTAATAATCCTAAATTGGATTTCATTTCCTTTCCTTTACTCAGATTAAAATATTTTTTCCATAATGGACACAGCTTTGAACTATGCTCAACAAGTTCTCGTAAAATCTGGACTTGGTAGACAAAAAATGTCTTTGTGCTAATAAAGTCTGATGAAATAATATCATGATAATTAAGAGGTATGTTGATGAACTCACGTTACACACTATAGAATATATAAAAGTACTTAAAATTGGTAATTGGTTTTAAGGGACAAACTGGAGTATCCTGGACACCATACATCAAAGTTTTTAATACATAAACGAGAAAGGAGAACAGACCGCACCGTTTTATTTTCCAGTGTTTATAAAATTATGGGAAGTACAATTTTTTAGTGTTCTAGTGTGCTTTTAACGGCAAATTCATATCTATTTTTAAATGATGCAATGGTGCACTACCAAGTTCTCTTTAACTGAATAACAATTAAATGAAAAGCAACTATAACGGAGAATTGCTAATAAGATCTTGGAGGCTAAACTCGGAGTTCTTTTCGATAATGTGTCAAAAAAGTAAAAGCGTGGAACATAAAAACTAATCGAACAAAGGAAAATATTACACAGAGCCATGGAGACCTAAAGCTGAAGAACAAGTAAACTGCATGCTTGAGGCGTAGGGAAATATCAGTGATCACAACGAAGTTGGTTCGAGTTTCGCATCTGATTGGTTGAGAGGACGGTTAGTGTTTCCTTTATTAAGTGTAGAGCTAAGTAAAGCTAAATCAACGCAATTCTGGATTACAATCGACACTCGCTTGAAAAGAGCTCGAATATTATTATAGTACTTACGACAAATTTCATCATCTAACACCTATGTTTTCTTGGCACAGGCAAATGGCAAGCTTGGACGGAAATGATGCAGGATAATCAGGAACAAAAATTCAAACGTGTTTAGAAAAGAAAGTGGATCTCCAGGATAACTTTTCTTCAAACGGTGAGTTGATTATTTAACGTATAGATGGTCATTTCTAGGTGAAGCTTTCTTAGTGCATTTCAAAGTCGACCTAGCTGAGCCAAGCTGTAGGGGAATCTCTGTTTGCACTTTTTTTCTCAATACTGCAAGTTCAGTTTCTTTCGAGCTAAAAGTGTTGGTACTAAATAAACGAAACTTACGACATATTTATCCTTCAGCCCAATACCTCCAAAAATTCTCTCTGCCACATGATGTAAAAAATTAGCGAATATTTCAGTCAATTCCACACGCATAGAGCTCCAAATTTCTCAAATTTTAAACGCTGAGATCTTCTTTCAATCCTTGAAATAACTTCTCCCTTAAATCGACTTCTTTCCAATGAGACATGAATGCTAATGAAAAAAATATATATGAACAATGAAGACAGCAAAGATTATCCTTTTACAGTTTGTAGGCTGCATGTAAGTTAGTTGAAACTGCAAGTGACAAACAATGTCTTGCCTAAATAAGTCAGTAGAATTTTCAGTTTCGCTTCACAGGTTTGGGCCCCACAGTCTCTAATTAAGAACCTTCTATTAATTGATAGGACTCAAAGACGAGCTACTAAATTCATTTGCAAAAACAAGAACATGAGCTATCAACACCGTATAATTCATCTTAATTTACTGCCCATTGATTATTGGCTTGAATATTTAGACCTTCTTTTCTTTCTTAAATGTAAACTAGGGATCGTTAGACTTAACATAGAAAACTATGTTAAATTTTGTAATAGCAAATCACGTCGTGGTGCATCGGGAATTTACCTAGCAACACCGTACTTTCGAACTTCACTTTTTAGGGATTCATTTTTTGTAAGACTTTCTAATATTTGGAATGCTGTTCTCGATCATATCAAAGCTGAAACTTCGTTGTCTTGTTTTGAAACTAAGCTCAAATCTTTCTATTTTCTTAGGTTAAATCAAATATTTGATGGAGATAATGTTCGTATCTTTAAGTTGATTTGTCCTAAATGTCGTAAAGTTAATGCTTTTAAAGTTTGTTCTTGTTAATTCCGTAGTCAGTTGTAAAATATGTACTATATGTTTGTTCTTTTCCTTAATGCGTTGGGTTGGAATTTTAAATCTTAAGGGTGTAAATATCTTGGAGGGGACTTAGAGTCCTATTGTATTTTCACCCACCTTCGGGTGAATCATTAAATAAAAAAAAATAATAAAATAAAAAGAAATTGTGTCTCGTTCCCTTCGCGTCTTACACTGTTCCAATGGACGCCACATTGAACTTTTCTCATAAAAATTTCAAAAAACCTCCGCTTGCAAGAAATGAAAAAATGTACCAAAAGAAATTATCCTAATTAAGAGGAATGTCAATGTTCTCGCATTGCTCCCCGTAGATTTTAATCTAGTATAGAAATATTTCGAAGACTCTAATTCACAATTTTATAAAAGAGAAACGAGAACATATTGAACGGTTTTA